TAAATCATTGTACCAATGCACAGGCGTAAATAGTTACATTTCTCGGACACACAATCCCTTTGGAGGAAATGACAGTTCATAGGCGGTGGAAGTGTGACTAGGTCATTAAATGAGTCAGGCGTTAGAGTCAGTGGGTGGTCGGATGAGGTGAGAAGGTGCGAGGGACACGCCATTACCAATGATTTATGCAGGCGTTAGATAAGTGCACAATAGGTCACGATAGACGCAAATCCGTTACGAAATTACTTTACGCTCAAAAGACCGGGTCGTATGGTCGTTGGGTCAGTCTGCGTGAGAATGCGTTTCCAGAAATGTCCTATCCATTTAACGAAGTGACCCCACGGTTGGGGGTTTTGAGCAAAAATGATCAACTCCTCTCAGTCAAGAAAAGGCAGCTCGTCCAAATCACCTCCACATGAGGCAGATGGCATGGCATCATAGCAAGAGGAGTGCGGAATACCTACCGTCTCGACAAGAGAACGGCGATAGAAAGAGCGTCTCCAGCCACATCCTACATAGTCGGAAGTAGCGCTAATAAAGTCTTCCAATTATGCACCAAGGCCTCACATCTCGACAGCGTCAGAAACGATGGGTACACACATCTAGGGCCGTGTCCTCTGTATAAGGAGGAATCTGATACAGACCATTTAGTTACCATGGCCCGACGGATGCCTATCAGACGTATACACAGTCTGCTAATTGTGATGTTTTTTAATCCACCCCTTTCATTCGCCCATCACTGACTGCAGTCCCCGAATCCATTAATGACTTAATCACTTGTCTCCCGTCCTTGTACAAGTTCGTTCCTTAATTCTCGAGTGTGACTAAACAAGCGGGGCGGAAGCTTTCACTTTAGTGAATTAAATTTTCGGCTTCAGGAGGCGCTGTCAGGTATCAGCAGATCAAGCGAATAACAGGCATGATAGTCAGACAGAAGAATGCGGATCGGACGAAATCGGTAGCAGGGTTCTGAGAGGGATGCAGACTTTGACAATGAGACAGTCACCGTTGCGGCCAGCCCAATGAAGACGATCAAGCGGTTTGGGGTTGACGAATGGTCCGCGTGACAGTTGATTAGGGAGATTGTAGATTGTAGAGCCGTTGTCACTGAGATCTGGAGCAGACAGGTGCATGAAAACTTTGAAGGCGAGAGTTACCGCACCCTCTCAAGTGGATGGGGAGGTCCGAGGAAAACAGAATAAGACCTGCGCTATGGGTCATTCCAGTTCCCGAACGCCGAAGTTCAGGAGGAGGTGATCGTCGGGCCGAGGACTAAATCCGGGTCATTTGACATACCTCCCACGGTCGCTAGTGGACTGACACCTAAATCTCTCCGCCCCTTAAAATTGACTTTTTCTTGGCAAGTCATATGTTTTGGGCAAGAGCAGCATAGTTAAGTAGATAAAATAAAGTTGTTGCTTTTTCATTTCCTCAGAAATTAACTGCGAACTTGGAGTAGATCAGTATATATTAAGGACTACGGGCGCATAAAGAAACTTAATGTATGAATATTTGGGCCGAAGTTCACCAGCCATAGCAGGATAACCGCGTAATATTCATTAACTGCCGACAGGCAGCTAGTTGTAGTATATTTTAGCGTTAGATTATACCACACTAGCAGTACAGGTATCATATAAAAGATACTCACTACTAGCTTTTAGCTAGTAGCTGTGTTTCTATTATGGTATCTTCTAACGTCAAAGGATACGCTAGCTGCCTGTCGGCAGTTAATGAATACTACGCGGCTATCCCGCTGTGTCTGATGGATTCGGTCCAAATATTCATAAATCAAATTTCAGTTTGCGCCTATAGACCTTAGCATAAACTGATCCACTCCAAGTTAGCAGTTAATTTCTGAGGAAATCAAGAAGGAACAGTTAAAAAAGTGGAGTATCTATCAGAAAGCTCGCGGGGAATGCAGGGGGAGGCGAATCTTTCGCAGCTACGTCGCGCAGCTGCAGAATATCGGCAAAACACACGTGTCTGGGTTTTTAGCGATTACCTGTGCTGTTAGGATAGTATCCTATAACTAAAAAGTCCTATCTAAGCGCCATTTGCCCCGCATTAAGCATTACGTTAGGTCCCTGGCGTGTAAAAAGCGACAGTTCGACCGTCGCGAGCGAGGATGTGCAGTGAAAAGTGGATGCCACATGTATTAGTTTATGATAAAGCAGACTTGTGCAGCACCCCACCACAACCTCTTATCCCTCTCTCGCCTTGCTTCGATGACAAGATATTGTCAGGAGGAGAGAAGATGAGTTCGGGCACAAGGGCCGACGAAATTAACCAACTCGCCCGTGCGTGTTGCACATGATCTGCTCTCCACTGCATGCATCAGGGCAAGATAAGGGTGGCTGGGACCTCACATAAGTGATAAGGCCACAAAAGCCCCGCGGAGGAGGAGCCATTGTATCCCATCTCAAATGTTGGAGACGGGGATAATCTAAGCGAAGCAACATGTGGACTGCAGGTCAGATGAAACTGAGGTAGGATGAAACAACAAACATTTAGGGCTATAACCTACTCAAATAAATATAGTAGGTATTATTTATAGGCAACGGATATTTAGGTGCCCTCTCCCGATTGTTACCGCCATCGCAACCTGACAAGATTACTCCATCAGCGGACAACCTCCCAAGCCAAGACTTTTGGCGAGTTAGATTTATAATGGCGAGGAGTGCGCTGATATACCTTGGGGATGGATTCGCCAGTGTTGAGCTCAGTCCCTCTTCCCTGGCTCATGCATCAGTCGACTGTCCAAGCCTGTCGACCAACTGGTTAAGGAATGCGTAAAAAGCACACCTGCTCACAGAAATACGATCATGCGCTAACCGACGACGATGAGCAAGAGCGATTGGGCAGCACCTATTTTTTCAGCAGTCACCTGTATCCTCAGCAACACCCGTAACCGGATACACGTTGGTGGAAATACGCACAAAACAGTAAACAGGGTACACAGAGGAGCCCGCCCGAGGTCTTATCGGCAGAGAAGCCTACCATAAGTGCTATCTGTCATTTTGTCGGTCTACCCTTGCTAACAATCACCTAGTCGCACATCCAAAATTCTTACGGTGAGAAGGAAGAAATGATTTCCTTTGCAGTGCCGAGCAGATCGGAGTGCACCCATCCCAATATAATCATATTGGTCTGACAGAGAGGATGTAGTCGCGTTTCCGACAGGAAGCTCGTCAGGATCTCCGGCGATTTCATGACCCGAGTACAGAGTGAGGATGACATCCCCTACATGACCCCTTTCGCATCGTAAGTAACAAACGAAAACTAGGTTTGTCGATGCGAGCGAAAACGCGAGCTACGGGTAACAGTTTAGGAAAAGGGGATGTGATCGCCGGAACAAGGATTTTTATTCCCCTGATGTTTCAAACTCACACGGGAACCTACAACTATTCATTAACTGACCGCACGGGTGAACCCTGTTTCCAGTTCTCCAGTGTCTTTGGGCCAAACTACCGAGTAATGACAACGTTGTTAGGCCACGTTGTTGATTAATTTGCTGTTAATTTGAAATTAAGCCATAATCTCAGGAAATACGACCATCTATGATGAATACGAGGCCATAATTCTAAAAGGTATGCGGTTGCTTAGTCACAGCACCTCATAAATGCCGAGTGGACGCCCTACTCCGGGCGCCTTCTGTGATACTGCGTCTCTGATGCATATTTGGAACCTCGTACTAGTGTCAGTCTGGTCCTTAGCCAATCACAAACATCCAAACCGTCCAGTCGATTTCAAGACCGACCCAAATATGCCCTCGTTCAAGACCACCGATCATCGACATCTCAGTCGCGCACGCTAACCCCTCGGCCACCGCGGCACGACGGCGGGCGATGTCGCAAAGTTTACTTGATAGTAAATGCGTGCCGCATACCGATCGATTTTGCAGTGGATGCGAGATATTGGCCGGCAAAATCAACCGTCTTGAGGAAGAGATGGAAAAGATGAAAACCCTTCTACAATGTAAACTAGACACACTTGACGATGCGAATGTATCTGTTGGACGAATAACTAGAAGTAGGGCCAAAGGACGTCGCACAAAAAATACGCCATCAACACCTTCTGCAGCTGTCACGGCACACCCAGCACAAACACATAAAATACAAGACGACAACAACCAGCGATGCAACGATAAAAAAACCAGAGGAAAAAAAGAAATCGTGCAGCAAAAAGGTCGAAGGACATGAACAGCAGATTCCGAGGAGTGCCTCCGAAGAACCGGAACCAGGGACGTCGGCGTCCGTGTCGCCCATCACGGGAAATGACATGGGTCCTAAAACCCTCAACCTATCGCAAAAAACTTCCGACTTTGATGAAAATGCCAACAAAACAGAGACGAATGAGGATATTAATCGACTGCAGCTTATATCCTCGTCAGATCATGGCAACCACATATTGCCTATGTCGGAGCACGAAACCACTGTGTTCTCGAGAGTGTCGCCGGTCAGAGGACAATGTCTGATTATTCAGGGACTTCCCGAATCCACAGTTGGTGCCTCCAAAGAGCGGGTCTTGACAGACCTGAAACTCTTCCAATGCCTACTCAACGAACTTCTGCGCCCCAATGAGGAAGTTTCGGTTCTCAAGGCCTTTAGGCTTGGAAAGCGCTCAATCGATATATCAGAGCACTCACGTCCCCGACCACTCAAGATTGTGTTAGCCAACCAAGAACAAGTAGGACTTATTCTCTCACGACGTTTCCGAATCAAAGACACCAACCGCGGCGTTTTTTTTCAGCCGGACTACACACCGGCAGAGAGAATAAAACGTCGAAAATTAGTTCTGGAACTGAGAACAAGGTTGCAGAATGGCGAGACGGATCTTGTGATCTACAACAACCAGATAGTGCAGCGCCCTCCCCTAATCCGTTGGACCGAACCGATCCGGATGAGGGCACAGTAGCTTCCTTAAATGGGATCACAAGCGGCACCATAATCAAACGCCCCAAAACTCTGAAACTAAAATTTTTTTTACACCAACGTGCAAAGTATATTGCCCAAGTTAGACGAACTGAAGATCCACATCTGTGACCTTTCCCCTGACATTGTCTCTTTGACAGAAACCTGGCTGTCTGAAAACGTGGATGACCGCGAATTAATGCTACCAGGATTTCACCTGTTTCGAAGAGACAGGAGAGAGCGTCAGGGAGGAGGAGTCGTCACGTACGTAAAACACGGCCTGCTTGTGTCAGAAAAAACAGAACAGTTTGCCTGCAGCGCCGAGACTATCTGGCTCAATATAAGGGTACCAGGATCACATAGCCTTGAAGTTCTGACCGTTTATCGACCACCGAGGAGTGGCCCCGAGGCTGACGCTCGTCTGTTAGAGGAGCTAGGACGATTTGCTCTCCGGCCTGACGTCCTAATCATGGGCGACTTCAATGCACCGCTCATTGATTGGAGTTCACTATACGCGCGCGGCCCAGAACTAGCTTTCGACCGACGCTTCTTGGACATGGCACTCAGGTCATTTCTCACACAGCACGTCCTATTTCCCACGAGGGTCCGTGAGGGGCAGCAGTCAAACTGCTTGGACCTGGTGCTCACGAAATCGATGGACAGCATAGATGAGGTACAATGTCTGCCTCCCTTAGGTCGAAGCGATCACGTTGTACTTCAATGGGACTATTCAATCTTTTCCGTGCCTGAACAGCCCACCAAAATTAGAAGAAATATTTGGCGTGGGGACTTCGATCAAATGAAGGCCGAAATCAACAATACGGACTGGGAATCAGCGTTTTCCGGAAATATAGAGGAGGATTGGAAATGGTTCAGTGAATTATTGCATGCTCTCCTGACAAACCACTGCCCGCTTTCACGGAAGGGGCTAAACAAACGACCCCGGTGGCTGACCCAGGCGTTAAAAAAGGAAATAAATAAAAAACGGAGATTGTGGCAGAAATCTCTTACTGATGTGACTCCTGTATCCATAAACGCATACAAAATACAGAGGAACTTAGTCAAGCGGCTGACCCTCAGGACACGGCAAAATTTTGAAAAAGACCTACTGAATCGTGCTATGGAAAATCCAAAATTATTCTACAGCTACATAAGAAACAGCACACGAAACAGAGATCCACTCCCCCTCCTGAAGACTAGCGGAGACGTAGAGATTAGTGAGGATGGAGAAAAAGCTGAGCACTTTTCACAATTTTTCAAATCCATCTTTATTAGTGAAAGTCCATTTACTCCCCCCGACTACGACTTCGATGAGGGTCCAAAAATCGAGTCTGTGTCTTTTGATGAAGCGACGGTTCGCAAAGAGCTAATGACGCTAAATGAGTCGAAATCACCAGGTCCAGACGACATACCGCCTAAGTTACTGAAGGAGCTCGCTGCCGAACTAGCCAAACCATTGTCCATGCTTTTCCAAGCCTCGTTCGAAGCCGGCGGCTTGCCCGCCGACTGGAAATCTGCGCGGATCACACCACTGCATAAAGGAGGCAGCAAGGCCTCTGCAAACAATTACAGGCCAAGTAGCCTCACTTCCATCTGCTGCAAACTCATGGAGAAAATAATCAAGCGAGAGCTGATGCGCTTCCGAGAGCAGCATAATTTATTATCTGATGCGCAGCATGGGTTTCGTAGTGGCAAGTCTTGCGTGACTAACCTGCTCAACTGTTTGGAACGTTGGACTCGGTCAGTTGATGAAGGCAGTGCGCTGCATGTAGTCTATATCGACTTTAAAAAGGCATTTGATAGTGTCCCACATCAGCGACTCCTGCACAAACTGAGCCGAACAGGCGTTAGGGGTAACCTCTTAAAATGGATTCAAAGCTTCCTGTTAGACCGTTGTCAAACTGTCCATGTCGGTGGCCAGAAGTCGACGGAGGTTGCCGTTGAAAGCGGTGTTCCCCAAGGCTCAGTTCTTGGCCCTACTTTGTTCATTATTTACGTCAACGATTGCGTGAGTGAACTGGATTGTGGTGTCGCCATGTTTGCGGATGACATTAAGCTCTGGAGCGTCATTCGAACTGCAGATGACGAAGAGCATCTGCAGGCGAACCTAAATCGACTCCAACAGTGGTCAAAGGCCTGGCTTCTGCCGTTCAACGAGAAAAAGTGCAATATTCTACGAGTCGGCAAAGCTCGCTCTCCGAACCATATGGCCTACTGCCTAAATGTTATACCACTGCAAGAAGTGGACTCGCAGAAGGACTTGGGAGTATGGATTACGACCTCGCTCAAATCCTCGCTGCACTGCACGAAGATAGCCAAGTCTGCAATGTCAGTCCTCTACCTTGTCAAGCGGGCTTTCTCTGCCTTTGACGAAGACTGCTTCGCTAAAGTCTTTCGAACTTTTGTGCGTCCGCAACTAGAATTTGCTATCCAAGCTTGGAGACCCTGGACCGCGAAGGACCTCAGCATCCTTGAAAGGGTTCAAAGGCGTGCAACGAAACTTGTGGCAGGACAGGGTTCACTACCATATGCAACGCGGTTAGCTAACCTTCATCTCTTTCCCTTGAGTTACAGGCAGTTACGGGGTGACCTGATACAAGTCTTCCGTATCATACGCGGTCAGGACTGCAGCCTCGTACCGGGTGACTTCTTCGAGTTAGCAACCACCACAAATCTACGAGGCCATCCATTCAAAATACGTGTGACAGGGGTCAGACTGGACACACGAAAGTTCTTCTTCTCCAACAGAGTGGTAGAAGCCCGGAATGCCCTGCCTGTGGATGTCGTTATGTCTGCTTCCGTCGAGGTTTTTAAGAGGAAGCTGGATTTGTGTAGCAGTGTGCACTAAATTACCACCCCGATCTCTGTAACCTCGACAAATTCCGCTATTATAATACTACTTGCTATATTTCAGTAACAGGTTAAATTGAACTTATTATTGTACCAACCCATCGCCTACGCTTACTGACATGCACATATGCAAATTTTGTCCCCGGACATATTATTTATTTCGCTGCACTCGAAACGACAGCTCTACAACTGCTCGTACCACTAAAATTCGAGACAGTTTGTTTGTCTGTACAGACCTGACGCTTTTCCGATTATTTGTTACTTTATGATACCTTTTCGAGTTTTTGAGATTTTGCAGTTGCTTGTAAACAAATAGGGAGTTCAAAGGTGAAGACCTACATTTCCCTCAATAAACTGAACTGAACTGAACTGAACTCTGACGCCTGTCCCACTGGCACTCGGGGTGCATGCATCCGCTTAGCAGGGCCTGCAACTCTTACCCGGCTGCCACTTTGCTCCAACCAGTTTTCTAATCATTCTGCACAGAATAGAATACTCCACGGTAGGGGGCGCTCGCCGAACGTTCTTACGGAACTCAATCGTTCCGTTGGGCCTTACGGGCTTTCTCTCGAGCCCAGCCAGCAGCCGCACAGCGGCGCATGATATAAGGAGAATGTTATTACCGACAAAGACAAGGAAGACTGGAATGGCCATTTCTGGCTTATTAGCCGTCATCAGCCAGTCATACCCAAACCCGAAGTGTGGAACACCCGAGGCTCGAATACTCCATCTACTGGCATCCAACTTTTACTCATTCCCTTCGGGACCGGAACCTGGAGTTCTTAGTGACTAGGGTCTACTTATGACTTAAACTGTTTTAACAACTCCGCACATGTCCTCCATTACTCTTACCTGTCGCCGTATCTGGTGGTGTGTTAGAAGGTAATTCCGAAGCACCAGGTGAATGGAATTGTGATTACCGCGCTAGAATCCCTTCTTCTAAACAGTTAAGCGGCCATAGAGGCCTCCACATCTGCTTCCCCAAAGGTACGTCATTAGGAAGACCATTTTGGTCTATCATTGATGAACTAAAGCCAGGGAGAGTAAGAAATTTGTTGAACGGAATTTCAAACCACCAGGTGCTTGAAGCACGAAGAAGAAGAAACGAAGAAACCCAATGTATTTTGACAAAATAGACTAATATCCGCATAAAAGCAAAGAAAATGACCGATGGTGATAGAACTGAAAAAAGGTCCGCTCATTTAAGGAAAAACCATGAAAGGAAGAACGAAAGTGGGGAGGAAGGAGCGTATTCCATCGAGCTTTGTCTAATACGCTGCATGGATGATATAACCGGCAACAGTTGTCTAGTCTTGAAGAATCGTGCCTCGTACGAAGGACATTACGGTGAATCCAAGTCCATGTTCTCTTGCCGCACTGGAATCCCGGTCCGGAAGTGAACGGAAATTACATAGTTAAATAGCCTCCGGTGATGTAGCTGCGAGGCAGCCCTGCCCCTAGGAACGCCTGTGATTGAGAAATCCTCATTGTTGTACACAAAACACTCCCCTAATCTGGTAGGGGATTCGCTTATCCAGAAGAACTCTTCAACTCCATGTCTTTGTAGTTTGCGATCTCGCCTCTCCTGTTTTTGAAAATTTTCCTTGAGATTTTCCAAACTTTCCTTCACATCCTAAACGCTACCGCTTCGAAGGCTTTGGCTTATCATCCATCTCCGAGAAATCCCTCACTTTAACATTCCTACAGCCGGTTTTAACGTGAATAGAGTGGCGTTATTATACCAAGCATACTTCAAAAGAGTGATTGCCATTCAGCTTGTGGGAATCGAATTCTAAGTGAATGAAATCGCCAGTCTTCCACGCATAAAGCGAGTTTGCTTTATAATCTCGACGTAATAATCTCTCAGACGAAAGTAGGCTCTTCATACAAGCCGAGAAGAGAGGAGTACGGATTAATTCGCGAGACTGCGCGAGTTTGGAGAAGGAACAGCCGGTGTGTCGGTTTACTCGACGCGTGGCAATAGCGACCGAACTTCCTAGCCAGTTGAATAGTCGCGTCACGTAGGGCCCATTCCCTCGGCTTGGCGACAGCTAGGCAGATTTAAAACAACCTTTCAAAATAAGCAGGCGACCATACTAAACCGTGTAAACGGACTTAGAAATAGTTAGGTCTGCCTGATTAAGTGAGTTCTGAAATTTCTCCATACCTTTGAATGATACGTTTGAGTTTTAATATGAATTCGGCATGTCCTTGGGCAGTTAACTCCAACATCCTGTGAATTTAAGCTGTCGATTTCACTCCTTGTCGGCTGAGACTGGGAATATTTCATGTCGCGTGAAACTACCGCTGACCTCCTATATCCAAGGTGTAAGGTAGAAGTACGAAAAGCCGTGACAGACGAGCATCGTTCATTACTTAGAATGTAACTATTCAAGGTTCATTTGTGTAAGAGATACAAAGTCTAAGTTGGATTCTAGATTTTTGGTTCTTTAGCTAAACCTTTTCTCCGAGTCGGGGTGACAGAGACGAAAAACCCTCCAAGGTGAAACCTTTACGATTAAAATGTTTCTTTACATTAGCAAGCTTCTGTACCTGATCATACATAATTTAAAGGTACACTTGGGTTTGAGTAGGACATCGACAAACTTTTGGACAACGCGTATTTCTGAATTGTGGGCGTCGTCACCCAGTAACATCACAGCACCAAGTGCTAGTACACTCTATTTTAAATACTGGACTCAGCATGTCATTTAGTAGTAGAATCAAGGGCCTTGTACATTTAAATTGTCGCTTTAACTCCCTGTCCGATTGTGATTGCAGGACTAAAGTGGGTAAATGTTGGTCAGTGTTAGTCAATGTTGGTCAAACATACTCGCCCATATGAACGTCTGTCGTTAGTCAGAGCATAATCATTTAAGTTATGTCTGGTTCGTAAATACATGCCCTTAAGACAGAAATCACGCATTTACTCCCAGTTCTGCAAGCCGTAAAATTTCGGATTAGCATTCCTGGAGAACGCTGGCTGGGAAGAACTTGCTACTATTCGACCAGAGTGGTGAGACTTCCGTTTCGATTTGAACTATCTGTCTTAACTGCGCCCTGACAAAAAGTCGGCTGTGCTGCAATTTGGCTGAAAAAGGAGAACCACACTGGCTCATGCATGAATTTATGGGTCGTATTGAGACTGTGTGAGTAGTAGCGAGATTGCAATCCCCAAGTGGCATGTCAAAAGAAGAAGAGGCCTTTATCGAAAGGGGTTTATTAGAAGTCTGACGTCTCGGGTAGTTATTTCGCCTACTCATCTTCAAAGACTAGAAATTCATGCGGTGCAGTTTGCTTGATGAGTACTCCGCCAATGCCGCCTTGTATCCGACCCGCATTTCACTGTGACCGTGCCATGCAAATGGGATACATCTTCAACTTTGACATCATTGAAATCGTGGGCCGAGGCGATGACCATACAGCAGGGCAGGTGCAAGAAGCTTGGATGTCCACCGACTGCTCTGTCAGCCGCCGCATTTGTTTGCCTCCCCTCTATCTGGTTTTGCAAACCTTACTGACGGGGGACAGCCACGACGCGGAACAGTCGGGGCCACCAGTTATCTCCGGGGTCAACGAGGGCGGTGGCGAAACGGGTCACGATGACATGCGGGTCGGATGCAGTCACACAGGTGCGATTGGTGGGCTACGCATCGAACAAAGTACGCCACATAATGAGAGCTGTGCGCACGACTTTCTAGTCTCTGAAGATGGGTAGTCAGAAGAACTACCTGAAGCGTCAGACTTCCAATAAATCCATCCCGGTGAACCCCTCTTCTTTTTACGACAGCTAGCGATGTTTTTGTCCCCGGATGATCGGGTGCAGCCAGAAATGGCTCAGGCGCATGCTCACACCTCGCCCGGATGACCTCAGCCTGGCTGACCAACTGCTGCCGTTGCCTTCCAAGCTGATTGCACTCTCCTCGTCAGAGTAAAGTTTGTCCTACCAATTCTGTCTTCCTGACTTTCGATCTGTGAAATCTCTCGTCGATGACCCACCGCACCTGGTCAGTGCTATCGTGAGGCAGTAAGCTTGGAAAGAAAACAAGCAGGGTCCACGCAAACATGGCAAAGCGACGGAGCCCCCCCCTGTCAGTTGACTGCTTTCGTCGAGTGTGCATCAGCTTTCGGTATATCGACATCGGGATATTGATCGATATCTTGGTGTCCAATGATTGGTCTCAGCCGTAAACGACTCAGGTCCATGCTGGCACTTCGGGTGGACGATGCAGCATCAATGGCTGGCTCTTGGCTTGGCTGAACAACTGCCGTCGATGCCTTTAGAGTAAAGACTGACCTAGTAACTCTGTCTTCCTGACTTTCAAATGAAGAATCTCCTCGTTGTCAACTATCGCACCTCCCCAGTTTCACAACAATGGCTTTCTGATTGTGTGAGTTCCTTACTGCGCATAGTCTTCCCTAAGGCATTTTCTGTCTGTTGAAACTGCGGATTGTTTTAAGGATACATTCGTGTGTATGTGGAAACGTGGACTTGAGATACCGGAAGAACAGCCGGTCAGACTTAAACTAGGGTGACCTTGAGACTAGGGAAGAATGAGACATTGAGTGATCCGAACGACTAGTTGACATTACTGCGGTGGTGGTAGGACTGCTCTATCTCATATCGACGTTCCACGCCCGTGCGCTTGGTATAGTCTACCCTAAGGATAGTTTAAATTACTTATCTGAGGACTTCAAGCATTTCTAAACTACAAGAACCTTTGCTTTGTGCTGTATAACCAAAATAGGGGCCTTTAACAAGACTAAACATTGTTCAATCAGTTTACGTCTAATTACCACACTAAAACAGGCCGGGACATTTGGAACAACTGTTAATGCAATACAAATCAGTGTCGGCGGACCTTGGGCTCGAGTCAGAAGATTTTTTTGATGCAAAAGTACACATCTAAATCTCCTTCAGGTCATCCAACTCAGCAGAACATATTGCCTCCAGAGATTGGCAAAGGAAGAATCCAGTCAGTAGGAAGTAATTAATGC